GAGGGCGGATGCAGGCCACACTGTAGAAATCCACAAGGTGCATTTGGAGTGTGGGGGCTGGACTTTGAATACATCTAAAACAATCCCGTAAGTGTGTCATCCTGCTCCCACTTCACAATGTTTTGTGACTCAAGAATAACTTCTAAAATATAAATAGACAAAGGTGGGCTATACTTACTGGTTAGAATTAGGATGGGCCTCAGAACGGATGCAGGCCACACTGTAGAAATCCACAAGGTGCATTTGGAGTGTGGGGGCTGGACTTTGAATACATCTAAAACAATCCCGTAAGTGTGTCATCCTGCTCCCACTTCACAATGTTTTGTGACTCAAGAATAACTTCTAAAATATAAATAGACAAAGGTGGGCTATACTTACTGGTTAGAATTAGGATGGGCCTCAGAAGTGAAAACTGAAAAAACTTTTTGCAGTTCTGAACAAACACATCATCAGGATTCTTCTGAGAATCCACCTGGGTACCAAAAGCCACACTAGCGACAACATCCAAGGTGAAGCAGCCGACATGACCTCATTAGCTGCTTGTTTGCATCTCCACAGAATCACAGAAATGTAGGACGGGAACGGACCTCAATAGGTCATTGAGCCAAGTCCCTTGCACTGAGGCAAAACTACGTTCTATCTAGACCGGGGTGGGCAATAACTTTTCGGGGGGGAAGGGGGGAGCGGGGGAGACACTCAATGAATTTTCTGAAGTCGTTAGGGAGAAGCTCCAGGTTTCTGGAAGGGCTGGGACCACAAGCACAAGAGGCTAGACAGAGAGGAAGAGTGTGTGTGTGTGTGTGTGTGTGAAAGAGAGAGAGAGAGAGAGAGAGAGACAGACAGAGACTGTGACAGATTGTGTGTGGCACAGACTTGGAGAGTGTGTGTGGCACAGTGTGTGCATAGAGTAACTCTGTGCACGCGTGAGGCAGTGTGTGGCAGAGACTGGATGTGCAACAAACTGTGTGTGTGCGCCGCACGCCCAAGGTCAGCACCGGCATGTGCCGCGATCCCAGGCAGGGGCTGCCCAGGTTCCACGCGGCGCCCCCGGGGCCGGGGCCGGGGGGCCGGGG